ACAATACAGAAAGGAGCCATAAAGTTCGTTTGCCAATTATTTAGGGACTTCCCCCCCACCCCCCCACTATTTTTTGGCTGGAAATCCACAGGGACATGAGCTGGTCATGGCTGGAGTGGATGGTCTGCGGTTTCTCTCAGAAAAAAAAAATTAGTAACTTTGGAGACTTCATATTGTACAAATAGTGATCCTTCCCAGGTTAATAATTCAATGCCATTCCAATCTTATCCCTAGATAGATTTTTACTAGAAATTGACAAAATGAATCTAAATTTCACTAGATTAATACATAAAGAACAGCCAAGGAAATTTTTATTATAAACAATGAAGAGGTTATATGGGTGTGTTCAATCTGACAATTCAAAAAGCAGGCTATTCATGTGTGATTTATGAACCTTTCTGTACGTACACTCCACTTCTAGAAAAGCTTATGTTTAAAAGTTAGAGGAGGAGGTGGATGGTGAGAGACACCTGTCTTATAAAAACATGCCATGGAGATAGAGTAATGTAAATATATACCAGGTGAGGCAGAACGAGACAAAGGGCTTGGCGAGATGGAAGAATCTTCCTACAGAATTCAATGTATGAATCACAGCATTTCAAGAAAATGAGGAAATCGCAATAATAAAAAACTGTTGGGACAATTAGCCATTCGTTCCGTAAAAAATACATTTGGACCCTTCCCTACCTCACATCATCCCCAAAACCAGTTCCAGGGGATTAATGATATAAAGAGCACGGCCGTTCATAGATGGGACAAGGGTTCCTTCATCCATACAGCCTGTTTGTAAAGTCTTCCAGGGCCGAGAGACCAAAGAAAGAGGCCGACAACTCCATCATCGCATCACGATTTTACAAAGGGAACTTATATACTAGGGGCGTCTTGGGTGGTGGCAAGAGGATGTGGATATCATAGTAGCTGCATGGTGGAAGCTAAAGAATTACATAGCATGCCCTGGTTGGTGTGGTTCAGTGGATGGAGTGCTGGCCTCTGAACCAAAGGGACGCCGGTTCAATTCCCAGTCAGGGCACATGCCTGGGTTGTGGGCCAGGTACTCAGTAGAGGGTGTGTGAGAGGTAACCACATATTGGTGTTTCTCTCTCTTTCTTCCTCCTTCCCTCCTACTCTCTAAAATAAATAAGTAAAATCTTTTTTTTTTTTTTTTTTAGAGAATTACGTAGAACAGGACGGATGGGGAAAAGGCTGCCTCACATGCCAGCCTGGGTCAGGGCAAAGGCCCATCCTCAGGGACTGGCACACCTTGGGGTACAGGAGACCAGTAAAGAGACAGGCGCTGACCAGTGGGAAGCAGCCTCTGCTCTGGCCTGGGTCCAGCTGGTGGGTCTGGCTGTGGGCACTTCATGAAACAGTGTCTCCTCCACACTGCCCTTTTGTAGGACAGTTTGATGTGTTCCATCAACATTTAGAATGTGCAAGTCCTTGGTCCCAGAAATTTCAGTTCGTGGACCCTCTCAAGGTATCCTACTTATCTGTGCAGAAGGATTTACATGTTCATTGGGGTGCATACATAATGGTGGAAAATTGGAGACAAACTCCCTGTCCATCAGGAGGGGGAAAGCTAAATAGATCATCTCCATCCATACAAGGGGTTACTACAGGTGGCCGTTTAAAGGAATAAGACAGGTTTATTGATTCAGCAAATACTGACTGAGTGCCTACTATGTGCCAGGACGAGTTCTTGGCACTAGGGGCAGGGCAGAGGACGAAGCAGTCTCTACCCGCATGGGGATTTCATTTTCCTGGAGTTGACAGTCAATGAATGAGAACCAGTAAAAATATAATGGGATTCAAAGTAAAATGTTGTGAAGCAAAATAAAGGAGAGTGAGGGATGTGCTTTGTCCAGGGTTTGCCCACTGCCCCTCTGAGGAGGTGACATCTGAGCTGCATTTGAAGTCCTTCAATCAGAGAGGTTAGCAAGAAATACTCAGATTAAAATGCAAAAGTAATTACAAGAGGATTTTTGTTTGTTGGGTTTTTTTTTTTTAAGTGTACATAACCTGTCTCAGTTTCCCTATTACAGACATCAGCCAAACGGCTGGCATTAAAGGGAGAGAGATCCAAACTTTTTTCAGTAAGCACATACTCACGAGTTACCTCTACAGCAAGAGTCTGTGTGAACTGTGTCAGTGAACGGAAGCTCTTCAGAGCCCATGTGCAAAAACGGAGTTGGATGGTGATCAGGAACCCGGGGGTAGAAAGATGTGCTGTTCACCAGCCACTGACTTTGTGGGCGTTTCGTGACCTTGGGCAAGCAGTTGCTTTGGTGGCTTCTGTGTCTCGGTCCCAGAGCAGTGGAACCAGGGGATTTTGCTCTCCCCAGGGCCATTTGGCAACGTCCGGTGACGTTTTGGGTTGTTGTAATGGGCGGGGGTTGCTACTAAACATCCGGCTGCAGTGCACAGAGGACAGGCAGCAGCCTTCCCCTCCCCGGGACAAAGAACTACCCAGCCCCACGCGTCAGGAGCTGAGGTTGCAGAACGGCGCTCTAGAAAGAGGGGCAACGTCGACCCTCAGGTACAATGTGCTTAATTAGCACAGCTCCTGGCACAAAACAAGCCCTTAATAAATGGGAACTATTGGCCACTATTTTTATGGCTGGGCTTCTCCCAAATTAAAAAAAAAAAAAAAAAATCGAGGGGGGAAGAAGTCATAGTACCTAGAGTCAACTCAGCTGAATTCTAACTCCAGTGACCAAGAGGTCCTTATCTGTTTTAACAGCAATCCTAGTCTCCTCAGGGGGCCCACGGCTGCCGTTCCTAATTTGTTCCTCCTTGTTCCTGGGCTTTTTCTTCTCTCGTCTCCTTCCCTGCCACTGGAAGGGAAGCATTCCTGCTGGATTACCCCTGGTCTCTTGTACCCTCCGCTCTCTTTCTCTGGCGGGGTCATCTCTCTCTGGTTCAAAGACCACATTCAGGTTTCTCTTGTTGGAAAACCAGAATCAAAACCACCAGCCTTCTATTCCGCCCCTGCTTCTCAGGAAATCCGAGAGATGCCCAGCTGCTTTCATTTCCCCCTTTCTCGGCCCACTCTAACCCCCAGCTCAGCGAAATGACTCTTGTCACATGACCAACATCCTCTCCATTGCTGGTCATTAGCTTTCACTCATCTTAACATCACTCCTTTGCTGCATCCTTGCTGTGGACCACTCCCCCAAACATCTCTTCCCTTGACTTTCCCGTCCTATCCGCTCCCGTTTCCTTCCTACATCTCAGCTCGCGCGCCCTCTTCTCAACTGTTATTAACCGGAGATCTTAGAGGCCTGGGCCACGGCCCGCTTCTCCTCGCCCTCCACACTTCCAGCTCTGCTCAGCTCCTAATCAACCTCCTCCATTCCCAGATCTTCACTGAGCTCCTACTCCAGGCTCACACATCCCTCCCCGATCCCAACCAACACTTTGAGTCCCCAAACCGGAACGTATGCCACCGTTCCTTCGCCATTTCTCCTTGGTTGTCTCGAGACCCCCTGAACCTAATACACTCGCAACTGATTTCACGATCTTCCCGTGGAACCCGGTCCGATTCCAGTGCCCTCGTCTCAGGGAGTGGCTTCGCCATCCACACAAGGGGGAGGCCAGAAGCTCAGCGGAGCCCTCCCTCCATTCCCAAAGCAAGCCGTGCCCAGGCCGTTTTACCCCAGCGTCCCTCTGCTCCTCCACACGGGCCCACCTACCCGGGCCCCTGCTTCCCCACAATGCCCCACCCTCCCTGCAGCCGGCGACCTATTAAAAATTACCGTCTAATCACAGGACACCCAGCCCTAACTGCTGGAAACCCTTGGACACATTGCTCTAAGGATAAAATCTAACTCCTTACTTGACCCACAAGACCCCGGGCCACACGGCCTGGCCCCCCCACCCCCGCCCCAGTCCAACCCCTCAGCCCAAGGGCGCCCAGGGCACGCCCCTTTGATCTCTGGACAGTCGGGGCTTGCCGCTCCCAGCAGGCGCTGCTTGTCCCTCATTGGCTCACCCACTGGCCTCGGGACACCTGCTCCACCAGCCGCTCACGGCCCACAGGTAGGCTATCTCTGCTACAGTGCATACCGAGGTCGAGTCTTAACCCTGCCCTCCCCCAGGGGGTGCTCCGGGGAGGGGGGGACGGACGGACAGGACAGTAGGCTTGACACTGACCCTGCCTTTCTGCTCATCATTATACCCTCCACCTGGGCCCAGAACTTTGCACTCACTAATACTGGTGAGTGGTACAACCTACAACCTCGGGGCAGAATCAGGCAGATGGCAAAATTCCGGATCCAAACTCCGTCGACCCTCCCCCTCCCCTTGCCCAGGGGTCTTGTTCGACTTGGGCATCGCCTGGGCCAAATCTTGAGAAAAACCCAGCTGCGGAAGGAGGAAGGAGGCCTGGCGGGCGCAGGCAGTTCCGGCTTCTGCTGCCTCAGCAGACTTTTTACTCACCTGGCCTGGTTACAGGGGCCGGGCGGGCAGTGCTTCCCTGGGCACAACCGCCCCCCTCCCCCAGGGGTCAGCTGAGCAAAGGAGACGCCAAGCGCCTGAAGTTCCGAACACCCGGAGGAGCTGAACTCCCATATGTAAGGAAAGGCCCCAAGGAGCCAAACTGTCCCCGACAAAGAGAGATGGCCACCAAAGTTTGGTTCTTGAATATGTATTTTTTACTGAAAAAATCATTCATAAATTAACATACAAAAATGTACAAACACATGAGTAAATAATGTAATGACAAAGGACTATCTTTGTGAAAAGTGTTTTTTAAAACATCTTTAGATTTCAGTGCAAAAATGTACCCCTGGCACCTCTTAAAACATAAGAGCAAGCTCAAAAAAACGTAGTGATGGAAATAAGCTACGTTCAATGTCATCGTCAATGGTAAGTGGATACAATCAATACATGTGGCTGTTGCTCAGCTATTAATGTCTGTGGAAGAGGAGCTCTAATAAGAGTCCCTGTAATGTCAAAAGGAATATTTTTGCAAATAACTGCACCCCCCCCCCCCCCCCCCCCAAAAAAAAGTGTGAAAGGAGAAACCTTTCTCTGTCTGGCAATAATCAAAGACAAGAATGATTTAAGGGGGGAGGGTCATACCCATCAGTAGTAGCCTTAAAGAATTTCAGCTGCCAAAATATGCACAAGGTCACATTTGGTTCTTATTATTTTTTTTTTTTAAACAAGAGAATTTCACACCATTAACAGCACTCGGCCTGGCTGTATGATTTTAACATTTTAGTTTCTCACACAATACTCAACTTGGTGGATAAATGGCTCACAGTACACAGTAAGAGATTTCACACTAACAACAAACTTACACAAGACTGCAAGATAATTTAAGTGACCTGACTTCATGAGACCTTTCCTTCCTGTCCTCAACTCAGCATTCTCTTTTTTTTAATCAGGTGTTAGCCTTTTGCCAACATTTTGTTCTTGGTGGTAAATAAGTTGATAAAAAAACTTCAAAAAAAGATCACTTTACAACACCTGCCAAGTATCAAGCAGTGTGTCCCGGCCAAGTCTTCCCAACGGCATCATAGTTTTGTCTCGCTGAAAGCCGCTCAGCCTTCAGCGAGGAAGAGGGAAGGAGAGGGAGGAGGGCGGGACGTGCCACGGGCAGCCCAAAGGTCTGAGGGGGCAGCCGGGACAAGGGGAAAGCAACCTTTATTGCTATGTGCATCATACATCAAAGGAAAACCGAATGGACTTCTGTGTGCAATGTTCCCTCATGAAGGTCTTTTAAAGCATGAAATTCTCAAATTCTTTTAAAGCATATAATACAACTTACCAGCATTTTCAAGGGCAGCAGCCTGCTCTCTCATATGAGCTGGTAAGAGCTTTGCAATGCAATTGATTTTCTAAATACCACTCTATTCTTCAAAAGAACAAAAACATGAACAAAAACAAGGCCTGGCCAATCACTCCCACAGCCTGTGGGGATCATATGTCCATGGAACCAACACATGCATCAGAAAAAAACCCCAACCCACACGTGTATACACAAATACACCTCTACACGTACATCCATGTAAACCATGAAAATTAAGGAAGTTGAAGGCAAACAAGGCAATTAAAAAAAATAGGAAGTACTCTTCAGAAAGCACTCCCAATCATGATATATAAATATGTTTTATGGAAAAGGAGAGGAAAAAACACTGGCATTTTTCAGAATTCTGCAGAAGTCAACAGGGACTATGAATTAAGGGATTTGGCTCAGGGAAAAAACAGAGAGGCACAAATTCAAATGCAATTTAGAATCTGATTTCCAAAAGCACGTAGGGGTGCACAGAGCCCAGGGCCCTCGCACCCAGAGCTTTGTTAGTCTAATTTCAAAGCTCTAATTTGGTCTGACCTGGATCCCAGCCGACCCACAGCACACAAGTGTCACCTGCTTCTGGCCGAGCTTCTCATCCTTCGATTGCTCGTTAGTTCTGTGGACTAGAGAATGCTGTTGGAAACCAAAAAGGCAATATCCAGAGGAATCACTGAAGCTAGGTGGTAATTTAGGCACAGATTTCAGAAATTGTGACCACGTTCCACAGGTGAAAAAAAAAGTGAGCAAGAGAAAGAGGGAAGGAAAGACACCACCCATCCTTCCTCTTTAGGGTGATAAACTGACGAACCGACAAAACAAGGGCCAGAGCCCAGGGCTGCGAGCCGGCCGCCCTCCCCGGAAGGGTCTGCTTTGGGCAGCACGAGCAGCTTGCTGTAAAGAGCAGCATCCTGTTCAGCAAAAGATTGGGGAGAGGTGCCTGTGCCCAGCAGGGGAGAGAATCCAGAGCAAAAGTCAAGAGCAAGACCTTGGGAGAAGGGGGCGGACAGGGGCAGAAGTCAGCTACCAGTGACCGTGAATGGACTATTTTGTTCTCTTGTGACATGCCCTAAATCCACTCCTTTCCAAAGTGACAGCAATTTGGGAGATATATTCTTCCATTGCATTTTAACTGAGTTCCTGCATTTGCCAACCAAATAAGTGATCTGACAATATAAATCCTCAGTTTGAATTGAAGCCAGCTATAAAATTAAATTTAAAAAAGGCATTTTACATGGCTTATTTACAATTATACTTCTTCAAGAAGTGATTGTTACATGTCTATTTATCTTCCCCAGTCCCTCCCCTCCACCCTCAATCCCCACCCAAAGCAGGTAAATTTTTTTTTTTAATGAAACCGAAGAGAACACCAGAGATGAAGAATGGTGTGTGGAGTTTCATTTGCTCTTCCTAGAACACAGCTGCCCTGTGGTGGGTTTGCCTCTTTGCTCTGAAGGCCAAGAAGCTCCAAAGGCCATCTGTAGGAACAGACTCTGGGGCGGGCCCTGGCGGGTCACGGTTCTGGTTCCGGTTCCGGTGCCGGAGATCAGGGCTAGGACGGGGCGTTGGGGCGGGAGACGGGGGAGAAGAGCAGCAGGACAGACGTCTGTCTTGTGGAAAAAGAAAGCCAGTCCTGATGAAAGAAGCTCCCGAGCTTACTCCCTCCATCTCAGCGGGTCCAAACGATGAGGGCATTTTGTGCGTGTACTCTGTTCACATCATTCCTCGAACCCTGTGACCCGTCATCAGACGCCATATTTCTAATTCTCTTCCTGGGTGGAGCCCCAAGACATCCCATCAGGCTGCTTTCTCGGGGGAGGTGGGCAAAGCAAACACACATTCTCTCCTTATCTCAGTACTCGGTCACCTGAGCCAGCTCGGGTGTCAAGTTGACAGTAATGTTTTTATACAAGGCGTCGTATGTGATGTTTGCAAAGTAGTTCAAGTTGTTGAGGCCATCCAGCCCTTGCCGCTCTTTGGACTTCCTCAGCAGAGCATACCTGTGGGCGCAGAGAACAGAGGTGGCTCTGAGTGAGGGTCTAACCTCCTCACGACAGAGGACGGAGCAGGGCAGACCGCGGGAGAGGACACATGGCGGGTGACCGGCCATGGGGCTATTCCACGCTCAATGGTATTACCATGAGAAATACTTCCTATTCCATGCCAAGTGCTTTATTTGCTACACATTTCATTTAATGCACCCACCCCGTAAGCAAATGAGGAAACCAAGGCTCCTAAGGTTAAATGACTCATGGTCAGAGTTGGGGAGTGGAAGGTTAAGATACTGAGACGTCGGATGGGAAAGTTCGGGGTCTGTATTCGGTGCCCTGTTCCTCCCATGAAGACAGTTCATGCCATGAGAAGTGGCTCTCCAGGGACCAGTCCCCCTTCCCAGTTAACAAAAGACAAAGGGAGCCACCCTTGAAAATGCAGAGAGGTCCCTCGGTCCACATGCCCCAACGAGTCCAACCTCGGATCACTTTTTGAAAGCAGAGAGGGTATCAAAGCAACTGCACAATCACAGACAGAGGCTCAGGGTCATCCTCCAGAGCCGGAGCTTGTAGGAAGGGCGCCAAGTCTGCTCTGCCACGTCAGGGGGAGTCACAGAGACCTTTTCCCGAGGGACTTTCCTTCAACTCTCTGAAGGCTACCGAAGAGATTACAAAACTTAAGATGCAGAATGCGTCATTTCTTTAAAAGAGCTTACAATGAAAATTTTCACCCATACTGATTTCACTCTCGAACACCTGCCTCACAGTTAAATTAGAATATATGTGGGAACCATGACTGAGCTGCCCGACAGGGCCTGGCGAGGCTGAGGAGTAAAGCGAGGGCTTGGAACGTGCTCTGGGACACCTGGAAATGCAAGGCATAGAGGATGTTTGTAAGAGGAATAAACTAATGGCACCAACCTTCCAAGAAATTGGACTTCTCCCCGATGGTGATGAGGAATGGACTTGTACTTCCCCGTGTCACCTTCCGGCCGGCTCACGGAATAGCCTGCGTTCTGTACTCTGTCAGAGACAAAGAGAGTGGGCTTTCAGGCAAAGCGATCAGGTGCTGTAGGTGACCAGACCTAGGCCGAGGGTGGGAAACCCCGAGCTGAACAACAGAGCTCCCTCTACACCTACGTCTTCGAATTCCCTATACCCTTTGGAAAAGTTCATGGTTTTAGAAAAGAAATCTACAATACAAAAAGGTTTTGAAAAAAAACATTCAAAATGAAATTCAAAGTTCTCGAGGGTGAGATGTGACACAGGGTCTCAGTGACAGGTCTAATAGCGTGTGTCCCCGGTGGATGAGTGCACAGCTACTCCCTCTATCTGGCTGGCTTGGGTCTTATGAGAACTATTTTTCTCATGTGTGGACAACACCTTTCCTTCCCACCGTAATGCAAGTTAGCAAAGTCAGGGTTGCTATGCACTTTCCTGACTTAGGTAGAAGTTAAGTCTCCACCCACCTCTCCCATTCCCTACGGAGATGGAATGACTTTACAGGACAACTTTTAGATGTAAAACTTCACAATGTATGAAAAGTCACTACAAGGGAAGCTGAATTTAGAGGAGGTGTTCAGGATATTATCCTAATGTAATAAAGATTTTCCAAGCTGGATTTACTGGAGACCTAAAAGGGCTCTAAGAAATCATTAATGGACTTTGGATTCTACATGAAATTTATGGTCATTTTCTTCTTATTTCAATATCATCCTGACTCCAAATTATACTCTCATTTGATAAGTACAAATGGAGCATCTACTCTGTGCCTGGCATTGTATAGGGTGCTGGGGGGAAACCAGCCACAGTTCCTGCACCTAAACTGCACTCCGCCCCCAAGCTGGGGGAGAGAGATGAGAATTGGAACAGGTGTCCTGGGAGGGAGCTGCTGGGTTCTAGGACCAGTCAAACCAGTCAAGTGTATGGAAAAGCGCTTCATCCTCCTAGGTTCCTAAGAATCCCAAGTTGAAAGGATGAGATGCCATTTTTACCATCAGACTGCACAAGAATGACCTGGAGGGGCTTTGTCCAATGTAGAGGCTGCAAGCTACCCGTGACTACTGAAGAGCTAAAATGTGCCCCAAGTGTAAAAGGTTGTTTATCTCTAAGGTTGGCAGTGGTATAAGAAAATGGGCACACTAATGCACTACTAGTTAGAATATGTTTGCAAACCTTTTTGAAGGAAAATTTGGCAATCATTATCAATATTTAAGGTACATTTACTTCTTGGCCTGGCTGGATAGCTCAGTTGGTTAGAGCATTGTTCCTATACACCAAGGTTGTACGTTTAATCTCCGGTCAGGGCACATACAAGAATCAACCAGTGAATGCCTAAGTAAGTGGAACAACAAATCGATCTTTCTCTTTCTCTGTCTTCTTCTCTTTCTCTAAATCGATAAATAAAAATAAAATAAAATACAACAAAGTGCATTTACTTCTTGACTCTATAGTTCTACAACTAGGAATTTAATCTAAAGAAATATTTGTACATGTGAACAAAGGATATTTAAAATTGTAAATGACAACAGGAGAGAATTAAAATAAATTATTGTGTATGTACATAAAGGAATACTATGCAATTATTAAAAATAATGAAGTGGATCTCACCATATTAACATGGTGGGAGGGTGCAAGGGATGTGTCTGAGTTGCTTATTTATGCATAGAAAGAAGTCTAGCCCTGGCTGGGGTGGCTCAGTGGATTGAGTGCCAGCCTGCAGACCAAAGGATCGCTGGTTTGATTCCCAGTCTAGGGCACATGCCTGGGTTGCAGGCCAGGTCCCCAGTAAGAGACGTTCAGGAGGCAACCACACATTGATGTTTTTCTCCTTCTCCTTCTCCCTCCCTTCTCCTCTCTAAAAAATAAATAAATAAATAAAATCTTTAAAAAGAAAAAGAAAAGGAAAGAAGGAAGGAAGGAAGGAAGGAAGGAAGGAAGGAAGGAAGGAAGGAAGGAAGGAGTCAAAAAGAAACAGCTGGTTAAAATGGCTGCTTCCTGGGAATGAAATAGGATGGTAATGGGGATTAAGATTTACACTCCAGTTTATGTATTTTTGTATCATGTGAATTTTTACCAGCAAATGTTACGTTGCAATTAACAACCAACACATACTTTCTTTTTAAAAGCCAAGCTAAATGTAGGCAGATACAAGGCAGCAATTCTTTTGCTTATTCATTCCTTATTAAGTCACTCTTTACTCCTAAAAATATTAGTTTACACTATTCACAGGGTTGTTCACATAAACCTGTATAATAATAAAGCCTTATCTGATTGCGTGGATAAATCTACGTGCACAATACTAACATTCGACCTCTGGTTTGGGGAGGTTTCAGTGAAATGTATTATGAATGGAAAAATATATGCTGGATTTCAAATATTTTGTGAAGAAAGAAAGGAATGTCAGGTATTTCCATTAACATTTTATATTAATCACATGTTAAAGTGATATCATTTTGGATACATTATGATAAATACATTGCTAACATATTTTAGCACCATATTAAAGTTAATTTGACCTGTTCTCCTCTTTTAACCTTTTGAAGTGCGGCTACTAGGACATTTTACATTAGACACATGGCTCACGTTCCATTCCTACGGGAGCATTTCTAGAAGGCACCACAAGAGGGGCCCATACCTGTTCCACAGGTCGTCGTCTTCTCCACCCCAACCCCAGAAAGCATTGGGGAAGCCGTTGATTTTCCGAAACTGTTCCACTGTGAGGCCGCTCACTCCGCCAAAGAACTCAGTGTAAGGAAGCCTGAAAGGATGTACAACATCAGCCACGTGCGCACTGGAGGGCAACGTTTTTCCCAGAATGGGCCACCCCGCTGGAGAACATGTCTTAAATAGAACAACACTCTCCGTGCCGCTGCCCTGGACCACCTGAAATCGTCTCCTCGTGCTCAGACGCGTCAACCTGAGCAGCTCACAGAACGTTTTTTCAAACAGCTTTACGGAGGCACAACTGACATGCTACATAATTCACCTATTTCAAAAGAGCGTAATTCAGTGAGCTTTAGCATTTCACAGCGTTGTGCAGCCATGACCACAATCAATTTGGATACAGTTCATTACTCCCAAAAGAAGCCTTGTACCCATTAGCAGGGACTCCTCGTTAGCAGGGACTCCTCGCTTCCCCCGATTCCCCTCAGCCCCATGCCACCATTATTCTCCTTTCTGTCTATAGATCTGCCTATTCTGGATAGACCTTATAAACGAAATCACATACTATGTTGTCTTTTGTAACTAGTTTCACTTAGCATGTTTTCAAGGTTGAGCTACATTGTTGCATATATCAGTACTTTATTCCTTTATATTGACAAACGGTATTTCAGTGTGTGGCTACGCTCTATTTCGTTTTCCCATTCATCAGCTGATGGACATTTGGGTTGGAGCTAATTGGACTTGTCATCTTTGCATCTCTCCTCATTCTTTTAGTTTTACTTCTTGAATTAGGAGGAAATGATACTCACAGATACATATACTTATCCAATTTGGTTGCAAAATGCCTTGGCATCTGTCCACAGCCATAGTAGTTACGATCACTTTCTGGTATATGATCCACATCGTGAAAAATAAGACAGTCCCAGTCCAAGTCCTTCATTGCTTCTCGAAAACCAACGTTGAAAAGCATGGCTCGATTAAAGGGTTGGGTGCCAACCTAAGAGGACAGAACTCTACTTGTAAAAGGACTGTTGAGGCATAGTCGCTGCTGCCTGAGCCTGGCCCAAGAGGAAGCTTACTGAAGGCGACTGGGGAAAGGTCACTGGGCCAGAAGTGAGGCAGGCGCAGCTCCACTCATCGCTGACTCACAGCCACCTGACCCCTAGCCTCGATTTCCTTGGAAATAACACGGGTGACAACGATAAGCCCAAGCGTCTCTCTCCCAAGGCTGCCACAAAGGCAAAGAGCAGCTAGGAAATCACCCAGCCCCATACAAGGAAGGAGAACACACCGCCAGTTTCTACTTACAGCTCCTTATTATAAGGGAATCTCTTGGAGCCTGCAGACACCACCCAATGCAACTCTGGCAAAGCCAACACACAAGAGCCCTTTGTTCCAGGGTAAACAAAGTTCCACTCTGGACTCACACCTGTGGTATTGACTGAGCAACATGTCAAAGGGCAGCACAGAATTGCTCCTTCTTTCCCCTCCCGCCTCAGGATGACTCAATGACAAAATGTCGGTTTTACTGGCTCCTCACACTGCAGGCGGATTAGTGGGAAGCGCTCTAAACTGCTGCGCCGGGAGAAGGAGGAGGGCAAAGAAAGGACCGACCACTCACTTGTTCAATGACATAAAATGCAAACCGCAGGCGCTGGCGCTGAAGCATGGGAATCAGGTGCCTGAGCAGGACTGGGAGGTGCTCGTGGCGGTTCCGGAAGGGGATAAGGATGGCCACCTGGAGTGGGTCAAACCAAAAGGGTTGGTTAGTCCCCCCGCTTCCGCAGAGTTAGTGACCAGCTCTCGGGGAGTAGGGCTGGGAGGCTGCCTCGTTCTCAGCTTCCTCTAAAGGAAGAACCACTTTGGCAAGTCGACCCTTGGAAGTAAGGTCCTTCTCTTACATGCCTCATAGTATGCACATAGTGGGCCTGCTGAATGCATTCATTCTAGACCACAGCCAGGGGAAGACATACATGGTGACCCAGTACATGGATAGATCCCTAGGTATATATAAATATACAACTAAAATACACTTCACAAAACAGTGCTTCCCCTTACACTATGCAATGAACTTGAACACAGGTGTATTTATTGAACGATGGTCATTAAACTGATTTTACATTCTAGCCGTGGGCGGGAAACGCTGACCTGTTTCAGATCTGCTCCGAGCGCGCTGCCCACGGCTGCCTCACCGGGTGGGCATGGAACATGCGCTTCCAAACCCTCGCTGTTGGGCTATCTCCACGTCTCACCCCACTGAAATTACAGTGACAATGGCGACTGAGGCAGGAAGCACTGAGTCTGTGAAGATGGCCTCTGTCAGCATGCCACAGAAGACCTACCAGTCCCCCACCCCGGCTTACGACAGTCCTATAAGGGAGACAAAGGACCCTGCTTAGTCATCAGAAGGATGCAAATTTCTGGGGCTACAGAAGAGTCTTTAGGGAAATACATTCCTCCAGAATATTTTCATCAAATGCAAATACTCTTCAGTGGGTTAGTAGGAAGCTAGTTGTGAAAGGCCACAGGCAGCGAATCCCGCGGGGGTTGGGTACGGCGGCCGGCCCCAGGTGGGCTTCCCGGCGCTGCGGGTCTGGGCCCACCGCCTACCTTCCATCGGGGCACGCAGTCGGAGGGTGTCCAGTGACCCCCGAGCTTGATGGCTGGGTCTCTGGAAAAGAGTTTATGAATGGTATCCATTCCAATTTCACTCATGTTTATGTCTATTGGGCCCTCTGGACAGAGAGAGAGAGAGAGAAAAATAAAGTAAGAGGCCAGAAAATGATAGATTCCTTCCCCGTGTCCAGGGTTACCCTATGGAGAAGTTCAGCGCTTTTCCAGCTTATTGTGTCTTTAACAGGGATGGGAGTCCCTTCCTCGGCTTTCTAACTCCCTGCGTTTCAGGTCATCACTATTACCAGGTAAAGCAGCAAATCCAGAAACCAAGACTTTATAGAGTTCTGCTTCTGCCTTGGGTATAGAAAGAAATTAAGACCATGTAAAACGGCAGCTGAACTTAGAGAGAAGGAGGAGAACAGCTGAGCTTGGAGCCCTTTGTGTGCTCTGGGGGCAGGAGCAGGCTCACTGTCCCCGCTGATTTCCCAGTGACCCTGGCTGGCCATGTCCAAGCTCAGAACACGCATCATCTCTGACTTATGACAGCAGAACTAAGGTACAGAAAAGGTATAATACTTTATTGTCCTTGTTTTAAGAGTGCACCTGGGAGCCCAAGAATAGAAGGGAGAATTTTTTTAACTAGCACTTTTTTAAGAAAATAACTTCTCTCATATCAAATGAGTTATAATCAGTGTAAGATTTATACTGAAAGATGAAGCTGGTTGCCTATACTTTCTCTAGGACGTCTTAATAGACCCCAAGTTACAAGCAAGGCTGTGCGTGCAAAGTCAAGAGGGAAAAATGTAGACAACGGCACCAGGAACGTGAGGGACCTTGCAGGGGGCTGAGTGGGGTCAGGACACGAGTAACGTTCCCAGTCCCTGTTTCCAGTGGCGGGGGAGGCACTTCTGTTCTCTAGAGGCGTATACACTGAGAGCGCAAGAACACCCTCCCTCTTGTTTTAACCAAATGAAAAGAGCGGTTTCAATGCAGAGGGCGATAAGCAAGAGCTCTACTCACTCATGGAAGGGAGCCTTTCGGGGCAGGTATGGTTTGCAAAGTAGGTGAAGTCTTCAGGAAGAAAAGTTGTGGTTTGTAGGAAGGTTTCGCTGTGGTTCAAGTCAAGAGGATAATCTAGAGAGGCGAGAAGAAAAAGCAACTCAGACTGGTACACGTGATCAGTTCTGCAGCCCCCAGATGTCTACCACCCAAGTTTTTTTCCTTAGACATCCTTTTTTTGGGAAGCAGGACTCTGGACTAGCTCTCCACCACAGCTACAAATGTAAACCCATCAGTGAAACTGTTAACCAGATGATGTTGTTTTAACCAGTGTTTCTATTCTTATTGATATTGCAGCTTTATATGCCCTCGGCTTACAGTCAAACAACTCCACCATGTAACTATAAAACAGCAGTGTTCCCCGTACCTTATTCTCTAAAGGAACCACTCTCACTTCTGTTAGCCAGCGACCTTATTGGTTACCTTCATTCCCTACGTGGTTAATCGCACGCTTCCGTCTCAGGCCTTACCTGTGGACTTCCCACTTCCCTGCTCCACCAGCGCACCCTTTCCATCGGCCAGCCTCCAAACAGTCACGTGATAACTGTGATTAGTAGAGTCTTTAATATTTACATTATGACGATTCTACAGATACCACTCACAGTTGAGAAATGTGGGGAGTTAGGATTACTTTTCCTTCCTTTCCTGAGTATTTTTTCCCAGGCTGACTGTCTTGTTTTTCTGTTTGCCAGGTTCTGTGCAGGGCAGTGACTGGCTCGACAGCATGCGCATTAACACTGCGCTTCTGCTGAAGACGTTCCGTTCCGGCATCAGGCATTCCCTCAATTTCACCTTCCCAAGAAGGTGCAGGGCCTTCCGCTCCACCCCCCTTTGAATGGGCTTTCCTTCGCGCCTGACGCCTGATGTGCCCTGATGTGCAGATGCTCTGCTCCGAGCTCCCTTCTCCATCGTCCTGGGGGATTCCTTTCCTCCACTGTATTGAACCTTATTTTCCCCAAGTTCAATTTCTCCCTTTTTCTCACTTAATGGAGCACATTCTCCATGTAGCTTTCTAAGAAGGGGAAATGGGAAGTGATTTTGAAACTTTATGTATCCGACTGCTTTTATTCTTCCTCACTGGACTCAGGCTGGTTGGGTTTAGAAAATTCTAGGCTGGCAATAATTTTCCTTTAGAGTTGTAAAGGCGCTGTCCTACCGCCTCTGGACTCCATTGAGTCTGTTAAGGCCAAAGCCATTCCAATCCCTGATCAAAGGTGAGTGGTCATGTCTTTCCGGAAGTATCAAGAACTTTCTGTTCAGAAAATTTCATACTGGTATGCCTTGCGAGGGGGTCTCTTTTTACTCACTGTGTGGACCGTACCTAGCCATTTTGCTACACTACCAATTTCCTCAGTTTTACCCCGCTCTTCTTTTAATGATCATTTCTGCTATCACATTTTTAACTCCAGAGAGTCCTTTTTATGTTCTGAACATTCATTTCTTACAATATAGTCTTGTTTCATAATTTGCTATCCTTTTTCTCCTACCCTGGAGAATATATGTTACTGTTGTTTTAATATTCTTCTCCCAGCATAGTCTGTTTCCTCCAGTTTGCTGCCTCTTGCTTGTTTCAATCCCTGGCTCAGCAACCCTTGGTCATCTGCTAATACTGAACAGCAGGGCACCGATCAGCTACCTGGAAGGGTTTGGACCGAGGTTGTTCATCACAGGGTGTTCTGGCCAGAAGTCTGGTTTCGGAACTCCCAGACTCAGTGTCATGGGGTCTTTCCTTTTGGTCCAGTCACATGGCCCAGGGGAGTCTATTCTAATCTGCCACAACAGTACAGTCTTGGCTATAAGCATCCTGGAATGGAGGACACTTAAACCAAGCCAGGTAACCCCAACTTGAGGGAGCCTCTGTTTTACCATCTTCGAAGGGTATCAAGTCTCCAGTCCTTCGCCCAGATGGGCAAGGGACCTGGGTGTCTGACTGCTTTTCCTGTAGCTTTTCAACCAACCTTTATCTGAGTTGCTACCTTTATTTCTATCTCCCAAAGTACCTGAGATTGCTAATTTCTGAGCTTCTGGGAGATTCTGGGGTAGGAACTGGGTCCAGCGTTTCTTGTGCTTCAAGGAACTGGAAAGCTGGGAGCCAGATGACGACCCCATGGAGGAACATAAAAAGCACTGTGAAGAGTTAACCCCTGGGGAATATTTGAAACTGGACAAAGAAAGAGCCAAGAACAAAACTGCCAACGAAGCCACCAGTACGCAGAAAGAACCCGAAGAAACTGCAAAGCCAGGCCGCTGTGCCACTGAGCAGCTGGGAGCCAGGAAGCGATGCCCCGCCTGATCGCCAGGTCCCAGAGTAGACCACGGCCCTGCCCAGGCGCCACCCAGGGCTGCCCCAGCTTTGCTCTGGGGCCCACCCCAGCGCCTTAGGCAAGGAGAGCATCACAATTTTTAAATGAGGATATTTAAACTGTGTATAAACGGGCTTTCCCTGCTGGCACATTAGCAGTCGGGTGTGGGGAGGGGGTCTGTTAAGTCCTTTATGAGTGATACACCTGTTTTCCAACTTCCAAAAATGTTTGCTGTGATCTCCTTCCTTGTTCTCTTCATTCCTAACGGCTTAAACACCACCTATGTATACACGCATGCAGCACACACACACCTCTGGAGTGTCATTTCGTGGGGTTTTAAGTGTGTGAGGCAGACGCCTTTTTCCTAGGGGACTGTATAAAGGGAGCCCCTCCAACCCCTTACTTTTTTTATAGATAAGGAAACTGTGGCACCATATGTACAACTCGTATGGGGAGCCTTGGCTAGAACATGACAAAGCTCTGGCTAAACTCTGGGTCACTGCTCTTTCCATTATACTGTATTATTTTTGCAGAGTTTTAAAACCGCTTTCACCAATCCTTTCAGATTCATGCCGATTCTATGAACATTAAAACTTCCTATTCAGCCCTGGCTGGTGTGGCTCAGTGGATTGGGTTCCAGCCTGCAAACCAAAGGGTCGCTAGTTTGATTCCCAGTCAGGGCACATGGTTGGGTCCCCAATGAGGGGCACATGAGAGGCATCCACACATTGATGTTTCTCTCCCTCTCTTTCTCCCTCCTTTCCCCTCTCTCTAAAGATAATTAAAATCTTAAAAAACAACAAAACTTCCTACTCAAATTCACTTTGCAACCTGAAATTCAGAATCTTCAACTCAGATATTTTTTTAAAAGCACCGTGAGATTGTATCCAAGAATCAAACTGCTAACACAGTGAACCCTCTACCATAGGCACACAGCTGCCTCCTCCACAAGTGCTCAGAGGACAAACCTCAGTGAGAGGCAACGGGGGGAGGATTTTAACAGTCTCGCAACAGGGAAAGAAAGTCACAGACTCTTTCTGTCCTTTTTAGTTGCAGCTTTCCTGGAAAACACGAAGCCTGCATTTACATAAAGACATAAAGTAAGTCAGCATTAACCCCAAAGGTAAAATAACAGTTATGCAGAACTTAGTCCAAAGTCCTTAGTTCACACATGCACACCTGTCCTAAGTTGGGTCTTTTCTGAAGGTATTAATTACCATATTTTGCTGTGTATAATGTGTACCTTTTTGCTCACATTTTTGAGGGGGAAAAAGGGATGCGCACTATACATGAGTAGTACTAATTCCATATCTGTATAAATGTTTTTAATTCTTTTATTTATGCTTATGCATTAAAAGTAAAACTCTACAAAGCAATAACGATATCCATATGCAAAATAATACCCTGGATACAATAATCAATTTTGTTTCTATATATAAATAAGTAAAAAATTGAATTAAAAAATTAAAATGAAAGATTTTTTTCCTGAAAGTTTGGACCAAAAACGTGGGTGCGCATTATACACGGCAAATATGGTAACACTTCAAAACACTATGTGAAAAACCTTCAATACTAATTATTACTCTGGATGATTCTGATTTTGCTTCTTAATTACATACACATACTCTTCTCTTTAAAATACATCATAGTAATTACATTTTCCTAGAAGGCAAAGAAATTCCCAGAGGGATTATAGTAAGTGTTTTCATAAGCAAATCAACAAAAAACAGAAGAGAATAATAATCCTCGGCAATGACAATGACAGAACCAAGCCTCAGAGCTACAACCTAGACAGAAAGTAAGTAAAAATAAAGACAAAAACAACAACAACATAAACATGTGGGAGAGGAGACAATTTTTAACTCTTCCTACTTCTGGGGTTTGAAGCCACATACATTCCTTCCTGCTGCCTTCAAACACTGACGTAACAGGCCTGGGACCAACCAGCACCGAACAAAACAGGGCAAAACAAAACACCATGTATTTTTTCCTTCCGGCTACTAAATAGTGTCATTTAAAAAAAGAAAAGAACCTCAAATACACAACTCATAAGTGGAAGTCCTCCATCATAACCCACACAATAATAATCTTAGGGGGAAACTTCCCAAAACTCTGAATTTCCTTATTTTACATTTTAAGTTCTGGAGATAAAAATTTTAGGGAAGTGAAAGAGGCAGAGGACACCCATTGCTCCTGGTCTGTAAAACTGCACACTCATTGTGGGGCCCTGGCTCTCCTGTCCTGCCACCCGGGAATCAGTGACCACATGGCAGACACCCCTCGGGGGACCCAAACGCCGCGTCTCACTCTTCCAAAGCAGGTACTTACTGAAGGAGGAAACTGCTGAAAGAAAAAAACACGCTCGCAGAGTGTCCATGGCCATGGTTTTACTTTTTCACTTAAATCTAATCTTTTCCAAATCAGGACATGTTCCTCTAGCAAGGAAGGTAGAAGGGCAAGAAGGCAGCTGTTTCCACGCTTATAAAATGGGAAAGCAAGAGACATCCTTCCACCTACAGATTCAAAAGGGCCTGCTTATTCAACTCTATCCCACATCAGTGGTTCAGCGGCTTTGGCTGCAGTTAGAACCATCTAGAAGCTTTTAAAAATCCTAATGCCCAGGCTATGCCCCAGGCTAATTAAATAGGAACTTCTGGGGACACGGTGTAGGCATCAGTATTTTATAAGCCCCCCCAACCCTGGGATCCAAGGTGCAAGCGTGGCGGACATGGCTACCCCAATATGGGGCAGGGCCGCAATCTGCTTTCTCCCTCCTATTACCAAATCTAGCTGAGCAGAGTGTGGGAAGTGCTGATCGAAAGATTCCAGAAAGAACCACCATTTTTCCCTCCCACTGAGGAGAAAACCAAAAAACATTTGCCTCTCTGCTTAAAATATGTAGAAACTTACATATGTCAGAAAGATGTCAGGGGACAATATGTGCCCAATATAAGGAATTAGCGTCCTTCCAGAGTTAGCATGCGTAAGGCCGGCACCTGCCGCGGTAGGCCAGGATCCCCTCCCTGGCTCTGCCAGCAGAGAACTGCTTTGAAATGAATAAAAATGACTGGCTTTCACTAGATACACTTCCAAAGAAACGATATTTCTTTTTTAATACTCGTTAAAGATGTGTCGATAACAAAGACGCCCATCAAGGTGGTCATCTCAGGATTAGGTTACAATGCTTTAAATGTGTTTTCTTGTCCTGAGACCACAGTTTGGCTAAAAAACTCTGAAAATCAATTGCTTGCTCTTGGCGGGGGAGAGGGGGAAGGAAGTACCAAAACTTATCTGGTTTGCTAACTATGGTGCTTTGTTGCTGCTAAGCTGGCCAGCAGGACAGATTGATAAATTAGGATGTGGCCAATTAAAAAAGTTAAAGTTTTAAAAAATCATTCAAAAAATTAATTTAGAGAGAGACAGATAATGGCGGGGAGAGAATGAGAGAGAATGAGAGAGAGAGAGAGAGAGAGAGAACATACAACATTGGTCTGCTGTTCCACCCATCCATGCATTTTAGTGGTTGCTTCCTGTATGTGGCCTGACTAGGGGTCAAACCTGCAACCTTAGTGTATCAGGATGATGCTCTAACCAACTGTGCTACTGGCCAGGACTAGGATGTGGTCTCTTTTAAAGATTTAACTTCCCTTCAAGAGGCAATGTTTCTCTTGAGATCTTAATCACCAGAAGGTAATTCACATTTGCAAAGCAATTTCATGTTCTCCAGTGAGCTGTGGACTAACTTAGAACTTACTACAGAAGGAAGGACCAATTTGAAGGAAAGACTTTTTTAAAAAAATATACATATTTGATGATACTAGGCTTGAGTGAAAGCAGTAAGGAGCCATTGGAAAGCACACCAGTCCTCAGTTAAAGACCTAAGAGGCAAATCATGAGTGCTCAGCAGAATGGAAATCTCAGAATCTATTTTTAAAATGAAACCCATCCCTGGCTAGACTGGATAAGCCTCACGACAGTCCCACTTAACCATCTGGAAATACTTCCTTTGTTCAATTTTTGGAAGAGTTAGAAAGAGAGACATAAAAAAGCTTTCTCTCAAAGGTAAAGACCTGCCTATGTATATAGTCTTACATAAAAATAGTCAAAGCCATGATTCAGAAACAAGTTCTTATATTTTAAGGAAGCCATCTAACCTGTGTTCTCTTTTCCTCTTTATATAATTAGTGCTTATAAAATAATAAAAGCCTCAGGTAAAAGTTCCAAAGATTGAGGCAGAAATGTTCACTCTTGTGTCCATCACTCTAATGTTTAGTTGAACAGCCTGGAAAGCTCTCTTGAAGGCTGAATGAATCTGACCACCAGGCTCAGCCACGGAGCTGGAATTACACCATAGGATGAGTCCTGGCTGGTGTGGCTCAGTGGATTGAGCACTGGCCTGAGAACCAAAGGGTCGCTGGTTCGATTCCCAGTCAGGCCACATGCCTGGGTTGCAGGCCAGGTTCTCAGCAGTGGGCACATGAGAGGCAACCATACGTTGATGTTTCTCTCCCTCTCTTTTTCCTCCCTTCCCCTCTGTCTAAAAAATAAACAAATAAAATCTTTTAAAAAAAGAAAAGATATGTAAAAACACCACAGTATGAAAATGCCACCTGGCTGGGGAAAGTAAACCAGGTCACCTCATAAACTTTTTCCAGAAGCCACTTTTGTAATTTGTGGAAACTGTCCTGAATGACATGCTTATTACAAGATAAGAACTTGCTAAGCATTCATAAACAAGCCCCACTGGGTGGAACAAATTCAAGCCGAGTCGGACAGAAAGGATGGAGCAACCCTTCCCACGTGGCAACCAGGCTGGGCTGGCTTTGGAAACAACATGAACATTGTCCTCGCCATGTGTAATGCAAAGAGCAAAACAAACAAATCCCACACCATGAAGCCATAAAATAAGTATCAGGAAGTCCAACCAAGTCCTGCTTTTCCTCAGTGGCTGCAGAAATACGTTTTTTTGAAATCACTTCCAGGATCAGCTTTGGGTGCTCCTGTTCTGCTGCTGTCCTGCAATATGCCTCATCGGTCTACTGGGGGCAACTACACTGAAAAGGGGTCTTGAAAGTACTCCTTACCTCCTCGTCCCTGAAAAATACTAGGAGCGAAAATGGAGTCATTCATTCAAACACACTTAACAGACTATCAGCAAAACAAACAAGGATTTGTTTTGCGAGAGGTTCTTTTTGGTAGTAAGGTAAGACTCAGCCAAGCCTTCCTTCTTTTACAATACACTTTGTTCCATCAAAGATAATTATTCGAACCAAATTTCCTTCTCCTGGGAGGAGACATTCGAAGCAGACCACGTCCTTTACTAACAACATACCTGAGTCATTTAGGCTGCTGTTCCTCCTGGCATAGGCGCTCCGAACCACCTGCTCATAGACCTGAGCGCCGATGGTCCGCATGTTGTCCCGGATCAGAATGCCTTGCGCTTGCATCATAAAGAGGTAGGTGTTCACTGCAGGAAAGAGGAAGGAGAGGAAAGACGAGGTGAATTTAAAAGCAAGCACTAAAACAAGACAAACAAAAAGTACACATAACTTGGGTTTTGTTTTTTTTAAACCTCTTTTCGCTCTAACACCTTACGAATGCCACAGCTGTTTTCCATACGGGGTCCAATGTTTCCAGGACACCCACATTCTTAGTGTGCCTAGCAGGACTTAGGGGGATTTCTGTCACTATTCGGGAGCTTCAGAAAAACCATACATTTAAAGAAGTATACTCCACCAGGTCTTCCAACACCCAATCTGTATTCTAGCAAGGTAACAATCAGGAAGGCCTTTCTGGAGCAATTAAAGTATTTTTAAAAAGGTCTCGGATCTCTCTAAGTCTCCTCCTCAATGCCTGACAGCTCTACACGGGAATGGAACCACCGGGAGTGGAACCATCGACTGCTCTGCCTAAGGCAATGCTGAGGTCTAGGTCTGGTCTTGGCAGCCTTTCAGAAGTGGTGGACTAAGGCGCCAGCTCCTTCTCTTTGGGCGTCTGGCGAGGAAAGAAGATAATGAAAGAGTGTAAGCAGTACTCGCTACCCACCCACCTCGGCCCCAAAGTCCAAAGCGGTGGGGGAAAAGCAGGGACTAAGTTCAATTGTCAACTGAAACACATACATATTCACACACACACATCCACAAATATCAAATCATGATACTATACAGCTAAAACTAATATAATGCTATGTATCAATTATATCTTAATAAAAATCAGAACAAAACCAAATCTATATTCTTTACAAATGATTATTCAGATTAACTGCCCCAACACTGCCATTTCAGAGAGAAAACTCCGCTGGGTTTTCTTTAAGTCTCTCAGTGATAGAAAGCTCGGAGATCAGGAATAGAAGTGAATATAATTCCTGCATTCCCTTGCGATCTCAAACACCGTGCCATCTATTTTCATATTTTCAGGAAATGGTAAGGCTTAAAAACAGCTGCTTTATCAACAGAATTTACTCACTTCCCCCTCACCGCCTTGAAAGGGAGGGTGTCTTACAGGGTGGCCCATTTACAAATCTAAACTCCGGCGTGTGCCGGGGACCCTCTGAAGCCTTAACCAGGCAGGCCCGGTGGGCGCTCCGTGGGGGCAGGAGCCGCTCCTCCAGACTTGGCATGCGTGGCCTCGGTCTGTCCTGGCTCTTCCACTAGATATACTTTGTTAACACAGTTTCATCATTATTATCACAGCATCCTATGCATAATGAGCAGTAAATAACTAAGTGGGTGAAGTTCAAAAGTCACTTTACTTTATTTCAAGCTATTGTGTTTGGTGCTTGTGCTGGTGACGGAGGTGGAGACCGGGCCAGCCAACCGGCACAACTCTTGGCCACGAAAAGCCCAGGTGGCCCCCATTAAATTAAACAGATACATAAAATCTTTCAGAAGACTTCAAATCATCTCTAAGGTACACCCCGAGCCATGAACTCATAAACAAAAGAAGCCAGTGTTCAGAAGGCTTTCAGAGATGAGGCAGCCCTTGTGGATCGGGCCCTGCATTGAGCGCAAGACAACCCCACGCTTAACTTCTGGCGTTGGCATTAACTTCTGGGCTATTGGGGGAAGAGCCCAGATGGTGCTTATTCTCTCACTGGAAAAAGTTATGGAAAGAGACAGCCTCAAACCCTTTAAAAAGTGTAGCTCTCTGAAGCCTCTGAAAATAAGAGTTATATCTCATTTTCTATTTATAGCAGATAGCACGGTACCGGGTCACAGTTTATAGACAGTCCATAAATACCTGTTAAACATAAGATTTAAACTTCATCCAGTATCAAATTTCTAAAGTGGTCCTGTGTTTTGTTTTGTTTTTTCCTATCATTTGAGCTATAGAATATATACATAATACGTATAACTGCCCTGAAATCCTTCCATTCCCCACATACTGCGGAACCAGTTGTCTTCAATAATACAAAAACAAGTATCTGCTGAACACCATGTGTAAAAGCTGTTAGCACTGCAAAAAATATACTGCGTCCTTCCCCACAGATCTTGCAGTCTTCTCTGTGCTTTCTGTCTTCCACAGTGTAAAGGACACTGTAGTTAAGCCCCACTTATAATTCTCTCTTAGTTCTGGAATCCCAACTGCAGGATTGCTCTAAGGCAGCTCTCGAACTCTGCCCTGCCTCCCTCCTGGAGGGCTTGTTAGAGCCGGGCCCAGGCCCCACCCCCAGAGGCTGACCCCGTGTGTCTGCATTTTTATCCAGAACCATGGTTCTAGGGAATTTTAGCTACATAGTAAGTAATGGTAAGTAACATTTATTGAGCACTTAATTCCGTAATTCTTTATCGCATTTACTCCTCATAATTATCTTAAGAGACAAGTAAACAACCCAACTTACAGTCAACTTCTAGGCCTCAGTTTCTCCACGTAGGTCAACAGCAAAATGGTCCTGGATCAGATGTATCTATGCTCGAACCACTAGGCTTAAGGCCTTGCTTATCCACGTTCTAGCCACAATCTCCGCAAAGTTTGAAGCACCCCCACGGTTAAAATGATTACTCTTAAGGACATGGCTCTCCAGTCTTTCTCCTGCCAGAAGGATCCTTCCTCCTTCCAGAGGCAGCCACACCGCCCCTGCGCCTGCCGACCCGCCAGGTCCCGTTCTTTCTGCCACGGACACCTGAGGCACCCTTCGGACCCCAGTGTAGATCCTTCTGCGCTCTCCCCCGCTTCTCCCGGCTCCGTGGTGCTGTTGGGGATTATCCAAAACGGGCCTTTTGTTTCTGTTCTGTCTTAGTTTGCTAACAACTGCCTCACGCGTCAGTCTTGTCATCCAACGAATAAATTGCACAAACCACATCTTATTAATGCTTTCTCTAATTCTCTACAGAAATGAGCACAATACTGGAGGAAAAAAAGGCTGAGGAAATAAATTTCGCACAACAAGAGGAAAATAATCACATATTTATATACGGGATTGGATGGGATTTTAAAGAACACTTTCAAGAGCATCTAACGCTTTCACACCATCCAAAAACCATGCCTTTTAAGAGCACAGAGTCAGCATGTAAAACACAGCCATCTTCAAAGAAAATTTTACTTGGGGTTGGATCCAAAATGGTTCCCAGTCACTTTCTCTCTGGCTCTCACTCTGCCTCCTGACAAAACAGTCGAAACCTTTCGCCCACTGCAGGTAGTTTCAATCACCCTCACACACGCACGCGATGCCTCTCACCTCCCCCCCGCCCCCCCCGCCCCCCACGCCCGAGGCCCGACGGCCCCACCCCCTCCGCGCCCCTCCCACGGGGGCACCGCAGTCCGGCGAGCCTGGCCGCTCTCCTCCGGACACGGGCCCTGGGGTCTGCACCCGGCAGAGGGCAGTGCCCGGGCCGGCAGAGCAGCGAGGTCCGGCACAAGCAGAACTCCCAGCAGCCCGGTTGCCTCTGTTCCCAAGGCACTGGCATCCCGGGCCCCCTCTTGGAGACCCACAATTCACAGCAACTCAAGACCCAAGAAAGTCTCCAACACAGTGGTTCAATGATCTACCCCGCCATTCCCCAAACCAAGCCCCCGCCCCCTGATACTAGTAACATCAAGTGACTCTGCAGAACTTGATTTGGGAAATTGTGTTTTCAATTTCTGTTAATAGAATTTAAAACTTCCATTACCAGGTAGGTAATCGATCAGTCAATAATTAACAAATGTTGTTGGAAAATAGTCACACCATATTGCTGATTCACATTAAGCTTGCTGGAGGCAAACCCTCAGTCTTTTCAGATGTGTTGCTGCTAAGCTACCCTTTCCTATTCTGCGCTCCCACCTTTGGTTATACAGACCCAACTGTGGGACCTCACAAGTGTCCCTATTAACAGTCCTGTTACTAAATGTAGTCCATGGCTCCAGCCTACACTGCCGAGTATGTATGCACACACACGCTGCTTTTAATCTGAATGATCTCATTTAAAATCCACATCTTTGTGAAGTACGTATCATCTTCATTTTTTTATTTTAGATAAGGAAGGCCTCCAGAAATCATTTACCCAAGGTCATACAGTTAATGAAGTTAAAAACAGAAAGAAGTAAGGTTCCAAAACATTTTGATGAGCTTTTTCTCTGAAAAAATGGTACTTTCCGGTAATATGGCCCTGATCAACAGTGGCTGAATCACAGCTTTAAAAATTTTTTGAATTGACACACGGCTTATTAAATCGTCCCTTGTTCCAGTGTGTATTGAGCACTTCCCTAAGTGCTTTTCACAGAAGATACTAGAACAAGGGGGCGGGGGCGGGGGGCAGGGGACACAGGATGAGTAAGACAACACAGGATGAGGTACAGACGCAATTCCGTAAGAAATTACAATGCAGTTTGATAAACGCTAAAATAACATTTACTACAAACTCAGGCTTACTAATAATAACTTTTTTACACTTTCCGGAGAAACTGTAATCCCTCTCCAGCCCCAGTATCTAAATGGAGGGCTCTCTTCTGCTCGCAATCCGGCTGAGAAAAATGAGCCCCCTTCAGCTTTCTGTGATCGGGAATTTCCAGCCAGAAGCCAGTGTGAGCCGCCGTGGGCGACGGCTTTGACTGGCGTTTCCGGGAGCAAAGCCCTCGGTCTCCTAACAGGAAGGCGGCTCTTCCCCTCTCCATTAGCATTCCAGTCAGCCCCTGTCCGTAGGAATCAGGTGGCGCAACTGTCACTTGAACACACACATTAACAAATGCCTCTGACTCACAGACACTCCTCACCACATAATGAAATCTGACATTCCGGATTAGGAGCAAGATGAACCCACGAGGAAAAGACTCTACATACTTATGAGTTCATAATTTTTTTTTATCCTAAACATGTGTATCCCTAATGTTTGTTGCATCTGGCTTGCTGAGCTAAAAGTAGAAAAAAGCCATTCCTTTCCTGACCACTCTTTAATATCTGTGCCTTACCCGCAGTGCCCAAATACCCCAGTGCATACATATGTACAGACACACACACACAATGCGCCTGCTCTGCTCCGTGTTTCTAGT